CCTTCCTTCCTTCTAGTCTCTTCCAGTACCCACTACTGGTGATGGAACCTAATAGGAAGTCGCTAACTGAAGAGAAATATAATTTGTAGAGTTCCAGCCTCAGTACCACAAACAAAGGGTGAGCGAGGAGTTGAAAAGCAGTAGCTTAGTAAGTGACACACTTAACTCTGAATGAAAAGACTCAGGCTGGGTGCAGTGGCTCAGCCTGTAATCCAGCACTCTGGGAGACAGAGCAGAAGGATTGCTTGAGTTCAGGAGTTTGAGACCAGCCTGAGCAAGACCCAGCATTTCTATTCCTAAAAATAGTAAAAAATTTAGCCAGGCAACTGAAAATAGAAAAAATTAGCCGGGCATGGTGGCGCATGCCTGTAGTCCCAGCTACTTGGGAGGCTGAGGAAGGAGGATCACTTGAGCTCAGGAGTTTGAGGTTGCTGTGAGCTAGACTGACACCATGGCATTCTAGCCTGGGGAACAGAGTGAGACTCTGTCTTAAAAAAAAAAAGAAGAAAAAGACTCAGAGAACTGGTCCTGGATTCAGTTAATTTTGGTTGGTTAGTTTTTTGGTTTTGTTTTTTTTTTTTCTGTATTTTTTTTCCCGGCATATTATGGGGGTACAGATTTTAGGTTGGTTAGTTTTTTTTTGTTTTTTTTTGAGACAGAGTCTCACTTTGTTGCCCAGGCTAGAGTGAGTGCCGTGGCGTCAGCCTAGCTCACAGCAACCTCAAACTCCTGGGCTCAAGTGATCCTTCTGCCTCAGCCTCCCGAGTAGCTGGGACTACAGGCATGCACCACCATGCCCGCTAATATTATATATAATATATATATTCAGTTGGCCAATTAATTTCTTTCTATTTAGTAGAGACGGGGTCTTGTCTTTGCTCAGGCTGGTTTCGAAATCCTGACCTCGAGCAATCCACCCGCCTTGGCCTCCCAGAGTGCTAGGATTACAGGCTTGAGCCACTGCGCCCGGCCAGGTTGGTTAGTTTTTAATGATAGTCATAGCTGGAAAGAATACTTCTGAAAGGCATGGTGTGGAACAGGGTCAGCAAACCTTTTCTGTAAAGGGTTAAGTGGCAAATGTTTTAGGCTTTGCAGGCCACAGGGCCTCCATCCCAAATACTTAACTTTGCCTTTGTAGCACAAAAACAAGCCTTAAACAATATGTAAACAAATAAGTGTGTGTTCTGATAAAATTTATTTATAGAAACAGGGAGTGAGTTGGATTTGGCCTGTGGACTATAGTTTGCAGACTTTTAATGTAGAATATATACATTTAGTGTAAAGTTAATTAGCGATAGTCAGTGTGGATTCATGGCCGGGCGCGGTGGCTTACGCCTGTACTCCTAGCTCTCTGGAGGCCGAGACGGCGGCATTGCCTCCAGGTCAGGAGTTCGAAACCAGCCTGAGCAAGAGTAAGACCCCGTCTCTACTATAATAGAAACAATTAATGGCCAACTAATATATATAGAAATATTAGCTGGGCATGGCGGTGCATGCCTGTAGTCCCAGCTGCTTGGGAGGCTGAGGCAGGAAGATCGCTGAGCCCAGGAGATTGAGTTGTTGTGAGCTAGGCTGGCACTCACTCCTAGCCTGGACACAAAGTGAGACTCTGTCTCAAAAAAAAAAAAATGTGGATTCATGTTTAGAATAACCTTCTTGATACTTTTTAAATCAGGGGAACCATCTTCATAAATCTGATTGATTTTTTAAAAATCTGGCTAAAGAATGCCTCTAAGGGAATTCTTTATTTTTTTTTTTAATTTTTTATTTTTGAGACACGAGTCTCCTTTGTTGCCCAGGCTAGATGCCGTGGCATCAGCCTAGCGCACAGCAACCTCAAACTCTGGGCTCAAGCAATCCTTTTGCCTCAGCCTCCAAAGTAGCTGAACTACAGGCATGCACCACCATGCCCAGCTAATTTTCTATATATTTTATTGTCCAATTAATTTCTCTTTATTTTAGTAGAGACAGCATCTCGCTTTTGCTCAGGCTGGTTTCAACTCCTGACCTTGAGTGATTCTCCCGCTTGGATTACAGGCGTGAGCCAGAGTGCTAGGATTACAGGTGTGAGCCACCGCTTTCAGCTTAAGCAGAATTCTTTATAAGAATTTTTAAAGCACATATTCAGTTTTGTTTCTTTAGTTAAAAATTGCCACAGTTGTACAATGTGAAGACTTAATGCCACTGAACTGTGTGCTTAAAAATGGTTAAGATGGTAAACTGTATGTTACGTATATTTACCACAGTTTAAAAAAAATGTAAATCCACTTGCATGGATACACTTCTTGTTATGGAATGTCAATTTTCCTCAGATATCTTGAATACTAGCAACATTTGGCGGCATGAACTTTATAAGGGTGCAGTTTCTATGAATACATTAAATTCATAAAGTTTTCTTTTTATTTTGTATTTTTTAAATTTTTTGAGACAGAGTTTCGCTTTGTTGCCCAGGCTAGAGTGAGTGCCGTGGCATCAGCCTAGCTCACAGCAACCTCAAACTCCTGGCTCAAGCAGTTCTTCTGCCTCCAGCGGCCTCCCAAGTAGCTGGGACCACAGGCATGCGCCACCATGCCTGGCTAATTTTTTCTATATATATTAGTTGGCCAATTAATTTGTTTCTATTTATAGTAGAGACGGGGTCTCGCTCTTTCTTAGGCTGGTTTCGAACTCCTGACGTGGAGCAATCTTCCTGCCTCGGCCTCCCAGAGTGCTAGGATTACAGGCGTGAGCCACCGCCCCCGGCGATTTTTTATTATTTTTAGTTAAAGGAAAAAGTAAATAGAATATTCAATATCTTCTTCTTGCATTCCAGTGGATCATTCTGTATACCTCTGGGGTTGCACACATCCACTAAAGAGAGACCACTGGGCGAGAGACCTATTTCCTAATAGGATGGTTTGATTTAATAGTGGGATAGTACATTGATAATCCTTATTCTTTTGTTATTCCCTTGCCTATATTGCTAATGGTGTTATCCTGATCTTGTGTTTTCATACCCATTCTCCCTTCCTAATCTATCTCTGCTTTCTTATCCATATTTCTATGGCACTTTACATAAACTTCTTTTATAATGCTAATCATATTGTATTTTCATCATGTGTTCCTAGCACCTAGCTGTAGCATACAATAGGTTCTCACTGAAATGGTTTTTCTCTGTTGCTGGGGCTAGAGTGCAGTGGTGTCATTATAGCTCACAGCAACCACAAACTCTAGGCTCAAATGATCCTCCTGCTTCAGCCTCCCAAGTAGCTAGGACTACAGGCATGCACCACCATGCCTGGCTAATTTTTTTTTTAAGAAACAGGCTCTCGGTTGTGTTCAGGCTGGTCTTGAACTCCTGTCCTCAAATGATCCTCACGCCTTGGCCTCCCAAGGTGCTAGTATTACAGGCCTGAGCCACCATCACACCTGGCCTTTCACTGAATATTTTATCAAATTATGAGAACTAGAACTTAACCTAAAGTCTGACTAGCTTCTTATTGGATCATAATCTGAGCTGTTTATGGTGTCTCAAGCACTCTTCCTCACCTTCATAATTTTGGTCAGCCTTGGTTTTTTTTTCAGAGTCTTAAATGGTATCTTCACTACCATTGCAGCCTTTTTCCATACCAGTACTTGGCATTAGGAAGACTTGGACATAAATTACATTTGCATAGTACACACATTTCAGAATAATTCATGTATTTGATCTTGCTGATATTACTTTGTTAAACAAATATTTATTGACTGTCTGCTATATGCTAGAAACTCTACTGGGGGTACCAGTATGTATGAACATTTTAGATACAAGGAAATTGAGAAGTTAGATGATGGATATGACATTATATAACGTTTTAATGATGGAACTGCAACTAGATCCTAGGTCTCCTGACTCTTGGTCCATTGGATTGTAGGGGTTGCTATGAGAAGAGTTAGAGCAGTATAGTTGGTATGGCATATGTGAGGGCATTTGCTTGTGGTATTCTTGTGCTACTTGAGTGTTTTCAGTAGTTGAGGGGCTCAGTCTTTCAAAAGGAAGTGCAGTACATTTATTTAGACTGTGATACAGGTTCAGTTTGGCATACCAGTTACCTTACCTAGTCCACCCTTTCAGGGTAGTCAGATGGGAATCAGCATATAAATTTAATTGAAGATTCTCTGGAAATGGATGGTTTGGAGAATTCTATGAGGCCTTCTGCCCTGGCTGCTAGAGTAGTTGTTGACTCATGTGTGGTAGCCAAGTAGGGTCTCAGAGGGTAGCTGGCTACTCTGGTGTTTACGTGCATCTTGGTGTGGCCTCTATAGGATCAGCTTAGTATGGACCTTGTCATTATTTGATGGTTCAGAAACTGCTTACTCAGAAGAGATAAAATTTTGAGAAAAAGAGATCACATTAACCAAAAGGTCTAAAGACGTGTTTGTAAGTCAGAAGAATACCAGTGGTAGCTATATATCTGGCTGAAGATATGGAATCTCTTATATAAATCAAAGATTCTCTCCTACTAGAGTCTAGCCTGAGATCAAATTAAAAGTCAGAAGGTTGCTTGCTGAGTAAGCATAGAATTAAGAGCAAGTTAATTAATATCTTCCTTTAGGCTTCAGGTTGTGAGGCCTTGGCCTTGTACTTCAGGGGTATTTCTTTCTTCAATAACTGCTGGACTTTTAGACTCAAACCACCCTGGCCTGTGGGGAGAGAGACTGTCCCTCCACTTTTCTTGAGATTAAGTTGTCAGAAAAGCTTCAGTTATTACCAGTTTCCTTACAGAGGACAGAAGTGGTTAAGATTTCCAGGAGTGCTGCTTACTTCATATTCATTAACTAGTTGCTTGGATAATTAAAAGCTGTTATCCACATGAGATGTGTGGTTTGTGCTCTCTAATATGATTTAGAAATAGCTTGCCTTTACCATCTTCACTTTGGTTCCTGGAACATTCTCTGCAGACAACTCATGTACTATATTGTCCACTTCCACTGAGCACTTTCTGTGGGCACACTGACTTTAGTCCCTGTTTTTTCTCCAGGGTCATCTAGTAGCAGGCACCCAAATCAGGCAACTCCAAAGAAAAGTGGTTTAAAGAATGGTCAAATGAAGAATAAAGATGATGAGTGCTTCGGGGATGATATTGAGGAGATCCCAGACACAGATTTTGATTTTGAAGGGAACCTGGCCCTCTTTGACAAGGCAGCTGTGTTTGAGGAGATTGATACCTATGAGAGGAGAAGTGGGTCCCGTTCCCGGGGCATCCCAAGTGAAAGGCCTACTCGGTACCGCCACGATGAGAACATCCTGGAGTCGGAGCCCATTGTCTACCGACGGATCACAGTGCCCCACAACGTGAGCAAGGAGTTCTGCACAGGTGAGTTGCACCAGGTCCCACGTCCCCCTGGCTGCTCTTTGCTTTCTTTTTTTTTTTTCGGGCATGGTGGCGCATGCCTGTAGTCCCAGCTACTTGGAGGCTGAGGAAGGAGGATCACTTGACTCAGGATTTGAGGTTGCTGTGAGCTAGACTGACACCATGGCATTCTAGCCTGGGGAACAGAGTGAGACTCTGTCTTAAAAAAAAAAAAGAAGAAAAAGACTCAGAGAACTGGTCCTGGATTCAGTTAATTTTGGTTGGTTAGTTTTTTTGGTTTTGTTTTTTTTTTTTCTGTATTTTTTTTCCCCGCATATTATGGGGTACAGATTTAGGTTGGTTAGTTTTTTTTGTTTTTTTTGAGACAGAGTCTCGCTTTGTTGCCCAGCTAGAGTGAGTGCCGTGGCGTCAGCCTAGCTCACAGCAACCTCAACTCCTGGGCTCAAGTGATCCTTCTGCCCTCAGCCTCCCGAGTAGCTGGGACTACAGGCATGCACCACCATGCCCGCAATATTATATATAATATATATATTAGTTGGCCAATTAATTTCTTTCTATTTAGTAGAGACGGGTCTTGTCTTGCTCAGGCTGGTTTCGAAATCCTGACCTCGAGCAATCCGCCCGCCTCGGCCTCCACAGAGTGCTAGGTTACAGCTTGAGCCACTGCGCCGGCCAGGTTGGTTAGTTTTTAATGATAGTCATAGCTGAAAGAATACTTCTGAAAGGCATGGTGTGGAACAGGGTCAGCAAACCTTTTCTGTAAAGGGTTAAGTGGCAAATGTTTTAGGCTTTGCAGGCCACAGGGCCTCCATCCCAAATACTTAACTTTGCCTTTGTGCACAAAAACAAGCTTAAACAATTATGTACAACAAATAAGTGTGTGTTCTGATAAAATTTTATTTATAGAAACAGGGAGTGAGTTGGATTTGGCCTGTGGACTATAGTTTGCAGACTTTTAATGTAGAATATATACATTTAGTGTAAAGTTAATTAGCGATAGTCAGTGTGGATTCATGGCCGGGCGCGGTGGCTTACGCCTGTACTCCTAGCTCTCTGGAGCGCCGAGACGGCGGATTGCCTCCAGGTCAGGAGTTCGAAACCAGCCTGAGCAAGAGTGAGACCCCGTCTCTACTATAAATAGAAACAAATTAATTGGCCAACTAATATATATAGAAAATATTAGCTGGGCATGGCGGTGCATGCCTGTAGTCCCAGCTGCTTGGGAGGCTGAGGCAGGAAGATCGCTTGAGCCCAGGAGATTGAGGTTGCTGTGAGCTAGGCTGGCACTCACTCTAGCCTGGACAACAAAGTGAGACTCTGTCTCAAAAAAAAAAAAAATGTGGATTCATGTTTAGAATAACCTTCTTGATACTTTTTAAATCAGGGGAACCATCTTCATAAATCTGATTGATTTTTTAAAAATCTGGCTAAAGAATGCCTCTAAGGGGAATTCTTTATTTATTTTTTTTAATTTTTTAATTTTTTGAGACAGAGTCTCCCTTTGTTGCCCAGGCTAGAGTGCCGTGGCATCAGCCTAGCGCACAGCAACCTCAAACTCCTGGGCTCAAAGCAATCCTTTTGCCTCAGCCTCCAAATAGCTGAACTACAGGCATGCACCACCATGCCCAGCTAATTTTCTATATATTTTATTGTCCAATTAATTTCTCTTTATTTTTAGTAGAGACAGCATCTCGCTTTTGCTCAGGCTGGTTTCAACTCCTGACCTTGAGTGATTCTCCCGCTTGATTACAGGCGTGAGCCAGAGTGCTAGGATTACAGGTGTGAGCCACCGCTTTCAGCTTAAGCAGAATTCTTTATAAGAATTTTTAAAGCACATATTCCGTTTTGTTTGCTTTAGTTAAAAATTGCCACAGTTGTACAATGTGAAGACTTAATGCCACTGAACTGTGTGCTTAAAAATGGTTAAGATGGTAAACTGTATGTTACGTATATTTTACCACAGTTTAAAAAAAAATGTAAATCCACTTGCATGGATACACTTCTTGTTATGGAATGTAATTTTCCTCAGATATCTTGAATACTAGCAACATTTGGCGGCATGAAACTTTATAAGGGTGCAGTTTCTATGAATACATTAAATTCATAAAGTTTTCTTTTTATTTTGTATTTTTTAATTTTTTTGAGACAGAGTTTCGCTTTGTTGCCCAGGCTAGAGTGAGTGCCGTGCGCATCAGCCTAGCTCACAGCAACTCAAACTCCTGGCTCAGCAGTTCTTCTGCCTCAGCCTCCAAGTAGCTGGGACCACAGGCATGCGCCACCATGCCTGGCTAATTTTTTCTATATATATTAGTTGGCCAATTAATGTGTTTCTATTTATAGTCAGAGACGGGGTCTCGCTCTTTCTTAGGCTGGTTTCGAACTCCTGACGTGGAGCAATCTTCCTGCCCTCGCCTCCCCAGAGTGCTAGGATTACAGGCGTGAGCCACCGCGCCCGGCGATTTTTATATTTTTAGTTAAAGAAAAAGTAAATAGAATATTCAATACTCTTCTTCTTGCTTCCAGTCGGATCATTCTGTATACCTCTGGGGTTCACACATCCACTAAAGAAGACCAACTGGGCGAAGACCATTTTTCCTAAAATAGAGAACATAGGTTTCTTCGATTTAATTACTGGCTTGCTGTGAGCTAGGCTGATGCCACGGCACTCACTCTAGCCTGGGCAACAAAGTGAGACTCTGTCTCAAAACAAACAAACAAACAAACAAACAAACAAAAAAGAGTAATAGAGTGATTAACTATGAGTCATTGATTTCTAAAATGTTGGTATACCACTGAGGAAAATGGTAACCACATCAGTTATTTCAGAGAGAATTTAATGTAGGGAATTGGTTAAGTAGGTGCTATAAGACTGATACAACATAAAGGGACATTGAGGAAGGGGAAACAAAGGGAAGAGATTAGGATTCTTAGAACCTCGAAGTTTGCAGAGGAGCTTTACAGAGCTGGTGCCAGTACTTCTGAGGAGTTGCAATGAAAATGGTTGAAGACTGGAACCAACTGGGCAACGCTGGAGAGAATAGCAAGGAAAAAAAGAGAAAGTCTCTTCTCCTTCCTTCCTTCTAGTCTCTTCCAGTACCCACTACTGGTGATGGAACCTAATAGGAAGTCGCTAACTGAAGAGAAATATAATTTGTAGAGTTCCAGCCTCAGTACCACAAACAAAGGGTGAGCGAGGAGTTGAAAAGCAGTAGCTTAGTAAGTGACACACTTAACTCTGAATGAAAAAGACTCAGGCTGGGTGCAGTGGCTCAGCCTGTAATCCCAGCACTCTGGGAGACAGCAGAAGGATTGCTTGAGTTCAGGAGTTTGAGACCAGCCTGAGCAAGACCAACATTTCTATTCCTAAAAATAGTAAAAAATTTAGCCAGGCAACTGAAAATAGAAAAAATTAGCGTAATATACAAAAAATTGGCCGCATGGGTGCACATGCCTGTAGTCCCACTCGCAGGAGCAGGAGGATCGCTGACCCAGGAGATTGAGGTTGCTTGAGCGAGGCGACGCCATGGCACTCACTCTAGCCTGGCACAAATGATACTCTGTTTCAAAAAAAAAAGAAAGCAAAGAGCAGCCAGGGGACGTGACCTGGTGCAACTCACTGTCAGAACTCCTTGCTCACGTTGTGGCACTGTGATCCGCGGCAGACAATTGCTCGACCTTCCAGGATGTTCTCATCGTGGCGGTACAGGTAGGCCTTTCACGTTGGGACTCCCGACGGACCTCACTTCTCATCATAGTATCAATCTCCTCAAACACAGCTGCCTGTCAAAGAGGGCAGTCCCTCAAAATCAAAATCTTGTCTGGAGATCCCTCAATATCCATCCCGAAGCCTCACATCTTATTTCATTGACCATTTTAAACATTTCTTGGAGTGCCTGATTTGGGTGCCTCTACTCAGATGACCTGAGAAAAAACAGGTATAAAGTCAGTGTGCCACAGAAAGTGCTCATGTGAAGTACAATATAGTACATAATTGTCTGCAGAGAAGTTCCAGAACCAAAGTAAGATGGAAAGCAAGCTATTTCTAAAATCAATTACGAGAGCACAAACACACATTCATGTGATTAACAGCTTTTAATTATCCAAGCAACTATTAATGAATATGAAGTAAGCAGCACCCTAAATCTAACCACTTCTGTCGTAAGGAAACGGTAAATAACTGAACTTTCTGACAACATAATCTTCAAGAAAAGTGGACGGGACAGTCTCTCGCCCAGGCCAGGTGGTGAGTCTAAAAGTCCAGCAGTTTTGAAGAAAGAAATACCCTGAAGTACAAGGCCGAAGGCTACAACCTGAAGCCAAAGAAAATATTAACGACTCATGGACCTAACGTTCTCTTAATTCATGCTTACTCAGCACAGCAACCTTCTACTTTTAAATTTGATCTCAGGCAGACTCTAGAGAAGAATCTTGATTATATAAGAGATTCCATATCTCTCACCAGATAATAGCTACCACTGTATTCTTCTACTTAAAACACGTCTTAGACCTTTTGGTTAAGTGATCTCTTTTTCTCAAAATGTTATCTCTCTGACTAACAGTTCTGAACCATCAATAAAATGCAAGGTCCATACTAAGACTATCCTATAGAGGCCACACCAAGATGCACGTAAACACCAGAGACTCAGCTACCCCTCTGAGACCCTACTGCTACCACACTGAGTAACAACTACCTAGCCACGCCAGGCAAAGGCCTCATAAACTCCAAAACCATCCATTCCAGAGAACTCAATTAAATTTAACTGCTGATCCCATCGACTACCCCTGAAAAGGGGGTGGAAAACTAGGTAACGGAACTGGATCCAAACTGAACCGTATCACAGCTGAAAATAATGTACTGCACTTCCTTTTAAAGACGAGCCCCTCAACTACTGAAACACTCAAGTAGCACAAGAATACCACAACGCAAATCGCCTCACATATCCATACAACTATACTGCTCTAACTCTCTCATAGCACCCTACAATCCAATGGACCAAGAGTCA